CCCCCCCCCCCGGGAGTTAGTTCGGTCCAGATGGATCGATCTAAATCTGTGGGAACCCAGTCTAAGTGTTCTACTCTGCCATCTATCTGCTCTTATCAATGGGCACCAGCTGCTTGGCTTGGTGAACTTAATTACATACCCTAAAACTGCATCAAAACCATGTCATATGTCACATATATCTAATTATCTCTCTCTTGAACTATTAGACTAGTATTTGTCAATTTTGCACCTGAATCAATTTGATCAAATTGAAAATCTTTAAACTAATGGGCAATTGAAAATTGTTTTGCCTTTCTTTGCTTCTAGTTCAGCTCAACATCATTGTAAAACATTTTGGTCATAAACTGCTTCCTTTTTCTCCAGCTTTTTGTATGTTCCATGACACATGACATGAAAAAGGCTCCCAGATACAAATGCTGAATTTCAACATACCTATGTCTATTTGTTATCCTATTTTCTACCTCAAGACATGTAAACAAGCAGGTGTTTCCCGTTCCTAGAGTCATAAATTACAGTAAAAATTTAAAGATAATACCATAATTGTATGACAAATGTGTGCGTTCTCACATTGCCAAGATGCTAAACTGTAAAACAGTTGTTTACATTTCAACTCTGTGCAATAGAATGAGAATAACATTACAAATGTAAATATTTATTGGCAGCACTGGTAAACACCAGTTGTCACCATTACACATTTTTGCCCTATTTTATATTGCATCCTTTTTATAATTTACTGTAATGCTTTTTTATGAGAATAATAAATCTTCCACTTAGCTTTCAAGACAGTTCAACCATTTAAAAAGACTCTTCAAAAATTATTTTCCTGTAATTGTTTTCTTAAAAATAATCATATACACAAATCCATACACAACACCCATGGGCTAAAACACAAAATAATACCAAAATTAAAGAAACCTGGACATGCTCACAACCTCCTTGCCCCAATCCTACATGGAAAGATTTTCACTTCAACTTTTCATAACATCAACAAGTTAATTGAGTACAAATATACAACAGGTTATGGGGTCTTAGAGCTGAGTGCATGGGAATATTATGAATGGAACCAAAGACCACAGAAAATATCAAAAACACATTGCCAAACAACTGGCTTCTTGACACTTCAAGTGCATAACATGTGTACACTTCTTAAGCCACAAATACAGATCTTTTTTACATTTGTAAATGACATTAAAATCAATCCTGCTTTATATTTTTAATGCAGGTTTCCATTAGCCCTCCTGTAATATCAGTAATTCTTTGTGATAATGGTCATTTGACATTTTGTAGAATTTTTTTGTCATCTTCTTCAGTGCTGAAGATACAGTGTGAAATTGTTTATAAGCTCTCTCTCTCTCTCTCTCTCTCTCTCTCTCTATATATATATATATATATATACACATAGTGCAGCAGCAAATACTTTTTTGCAGCTGCTATTCTTGTTAAGCAAGAACATGTCCCTGTGCCAGCATTGTGACGAGGTGGTTAGCTTACAACCTACAGACATTTTTAACAATTTATATTTTTGCTGTCAGGAGAACTTATGTGTAGACTGACTTGCTGTTAGTAGACAAACAGAGAATAACTATGAGGAGAAAACTCACAGGACTTCCCAAACAAAAACTTGTTCAATATGGCTCCAGTTGGCAGGAAGTTGTATATCTTTTCTAATTCCTATAAATAAATCTGAGATAATTTCATTAATTTATCCCAAGAGCATACTTCCTGGTTTAAAATGCATATCATCCTCTCAAACTCACATGAAATAGAAGGGATTCACATAAAATGGAATCAAATAAACTGATAATAATGAAATAATGTGTGCTATGAGAGAATAATAAGTACATGTAACTGTTATACTCAGACTTAATTATTCCATTTACATAAAAACTGAACACAACAGTATCTCCCCCTCTGTAACAACCTTTATCTGTATGAATTTTATGCACTTTTATACCTATATTTACTACAAAAAAAAATTGGAGATGGAGTACAGATGCTACTACAACTCTACCTTCCTCAGATTTGAACATATAACAAAAACATTTTACTGTGTGGAAAAGAAGTAACATACTAGTAGTTTACTATTGTTGAATGGTTCATGACCTACTTTTAAGTTGTGACAGATTAGTTCAGTGACACTTCCGTTTTCATAAAAAGGAAGGTATACAGTCATTTCACATTAAGTTCTCATCAGTACCTATTTGCAGTATGCATGGCAGTGAGTCAGTGCTCACCTGTATTATTCTACCTTTACACATCACTCTGAAAATAAGAATTCAAATATATGACAAGTAGTTTGAGTCAGCAGAATATACATAAAACTTTTAAGTTTTATTTTCACTCTAGACCCATTTGTCCATTTTGCCTTCAAATCACTTCATTATCAAATATCTATCATTCAAACATTAGTCAGCTGAGTCAGCAATATGATGGATTACTGTAAAAATTATCATTCAAATTTTATTCCACTTGAGTCAGCATATGTGGAGTGGATTTCTTTCATTCCTCTGTACTCATGACATGACCACAAAGATATAGTGTATATTGCATACTATAAAGATACAGTCTCGCATTGTGCTTACTATCAGATATTGAGTACACTGTAATCTACTAATGCTAGTTACAGCATGTCAAATCAAAGCCAGCATATTTTCCAATTAACTCAATCAGGTAAGTTTAATTTCAAACTTACTGAAAAGCTTTAAGGAGTTCTAACAAACACATCCAGTAATTTTGTTCAGCCAAATTATTAAAATGTGTAAAGTAGAAATAGTGCCCTAAACATTCAAGACATAACAAAAATTATCCACTTAAAGGATAAATATAGTGTTTTAAGAAGAGTCACTTCTTCTAAAGCAAACGTGTGGTTCCAATGGATGCACACACATTAGTTTACAATTAAAATTTCATTTTTCATTCATCGTGACAGACATGATGCAAATGCTTCATCAGTCCAAGTAGTTTGGTTGTGAGATAATGGATGAGTTAATGGTTTTGGCTTCTGGTCAGCACTACACTAATCAATACTTGAATTTAACAGTTATGCATTAAAAGCATGTTATCTTTCAGCTACAAAAAGCTGACTCTCCATAAAAAGCTCTTCAATGAAGGAAGTCAAACTACTTTTATTGGCTTAATCTGTAGTTTAGGCTTGATGAAAATGTCAAACTCCAGTCCAAGAATCAGAAGCATCAAAACTTATATAAAAGATATCAGGAAAAAAATAAAGAACATATGTTTCAATTTGACGTTAAAGAATACCAATTAAAGCATTTTGCAAAATCCCTGCCTTTTGTCATATTCATATGTTCATCTTGACAACCTCATCTGGGCACAGGAACACAATAATGGAAACTGTCCAAGACATTCTCCACAAACATGCACTGTGGAGCTGAGTAGCAAGATCTGACCTTATAAACTGGTCTTCTGCTATAGGACAACCAATGTCACCAAGGTAACTTGGGCTAAGTACAGAAAATCAACATTTGCATCTTGTTTACATCAATGCTGTATGAAAAAAAGTCATATTAATCTTGAAGTAGTTTTTGTGAAATAGCAGTCATAATATTATGTGAATGTCTTTATGATAATAGTCAGGGGTCAAGATGAGCATATGAATATGACTATTATCATAAAGACATTCATATAATATTATGACTGCTATTTCACAAAAACTACTTTCCTGAAATTTTGACAGACTTTTTCATCTAAATTCCACACTTAATTTTGCTCACTGCATAATGTGCCACTGATGTGCATAATGTTAAGAATGTGGTAATACATTCTTGATAGTATCAAATGTGACATGAGGTAAGATGCTGGCATCTAGGGTACATAAAACAAAGGGGCAAGTCATACACAACATAGCTACATATCAGTTGTGAACACCAAACTAGAGTAAAACGAGCCCAGGTGTCAGGAAATAAGATGATGAGCAAGTTGGAATTCCAACAATAGTTTAATGCACAGCCAACAACAACTTCTTCAATACCACAGACAGATTATTTAATGCATATGTACCCTGATCCTCAAATAAAAAGTTGAAGACATATAAAAGGGTGAATAACCAGTTGAAAACACTCAAATTCCTTCACTGTTTTACTACAGAACATGGACTGTGCACTTCGAGTATGGCCAATTTAAGCTGCATGTGATACAAGCCCAATCCCCTCACTGCTAAAAGAATGCACCATTAGGCACACCACAAACAAAATGCCTGTTGTTTTGATTTCACATATTTCATATGGTAAAACACTTTGATGTATATATCATAGTATTACACTGGAAATCCTCAACAAATTCTCAACAACTGCTTGTAGAGAGAAAGCCTCGCTATCTCAACTGACCATCTGGCCATGGCATCATTAATATCCTCACAGGGAGAGCTGTGGTCGACAGTGGGTCGCCACCTCAACAAGTGGCACTTATTTGCCATCCTTGCGCTCGGTTCTCTGCGGGGAGAAGTTGCCTATACTTCATACGTAACGCTTTTAATGCAGTTAAATGCAATAACACAAAGGACTGCCACTAGATAACAACCTTGTAGTGTGAAATATGTGATATTAAAACAGGACCATTTTAACCCTGGCACTAATTCAAATATTTATCATGACAAAAACAAGCGTAAACAAATAAATGAATGATCTCGAATTTAAGGCACTTACCGCCTTCAGAAACTTTATGGGTCCGTTTAACTTCTTTTCTGGGGGGGATTTAGTTAACCAGCCAGAATAAATGATATCCATACTAGCTGCGGCCTTCACTGCTGCATCGATGACTTCGTCCCTTCTTCTGATTTGTCATTCTTTGAGAAATGAACAGGAAACTAACTTCGGGACTAAACAGGAAGTTTAATGGCGGAGAGTCGATTAAGTATCCCTGACGTCACCAGAATTTCGTAACGCGCCTGCTGGTTGGTCAATATGGGCATGGTGCATGGAAACTACCAATGAAAAAAGTTTTTTAATCTAAGGAAGGGGATTTTTTGATATCATGAAAGGCTATGTTTACAATCGGTGGAGTGAATAGCAGTGGCCACGATTTTACAAATTTTAACCATATTTATGGGTTCAACTGCCTCTGTACTTCAGTGGAGGTGCAATGACTGTAATTACCTCAATAGTAAGGACGCTGATGTCTGCTACCGCTGCCACAAGGTTCGATCAGCAGAGCACTGTACGGACTGTAACTCTCACCTTGTCGACAATGGGTTGAAAGAGAAAGCAGTTGGGGATTACCAGGGCCAGGAAAGCGTTACTGATGGGTAAATTTGGTTTGATGCCTGTATGACAACTGGTGGGCTAATACTGTACTACATGATAATCTTATTAAATCGAGTGCTTTCTTTTAGGTCCGTGGACAGGAGTGTTGGGTTGTGAAAAGGACCGCCCTCTCATGCCCAGGATGCCCGCTCTGAATAGAAATTTGATGTAGATTCTACCCCTTTCTTACGTTTTGTCAACTAAGGATGTTTAAAGAGCACACATTTTCAGAAAGAGAACCCCTGTTGAAACTGCTACCAAAATATAGATCTATCTTTATACTGGTAGTGTTGTTAATTATCATGTGGCAATGACTCATGTAGAAGGCCAAATTGAACTACTGTCAGATTTTTTTCCATATCTTTTAAGCTGACACTGAACTACAGGCTTATACATATTTACTGCTGTTTACTTCTTCTTTTCACTGTCTTCAGACTAAAGATGGAGAGAGCTGCAGAAGGACACCTGATTGTCAGAAACAGTCAAATAATCACCAAGGAATGGTGCTGCAAGTACTGTCGCTTCATCAATACACTTACAGTACAAGTATGCCAGAAGTGTAGCTACCAGAGAGACTTGATTGTCCCTCAGAGTGTTTCCTCAAATAATCCTGATGGTTCATTAAAGGAAAATAAGAAGGATGAAAAGGTGGCAACAGCTTCTTCAGATAAACCTTTGCCAGGTACAACTGAGGAAAAAATTCAGGATAAAGAAAACACTCTAAAATCTGCTTCAGTTACCAGTAGCAAAGAATATGAAAGAAGTGACGAAAACAGCTCCACTTTACCTGATTATACAACTCAAAAGATACATTATGCTCCTTGCAAATTGGAAGAAAATGATGTTGAAATGGACTGTGCACTCAACCCTGTAATTATACAGGTTTATGACAAAGAGGACCTACAGGGAAGGAATGGAGCTCGAAAAATATCTCCAACATTTGTAAATAGTACAAACATACAGAGTGATACCACTTGTACTTCCATTGGCTCAATCTTATATCCCCCTAGCACAAACTATAAGCCTCCAGTTCCTAATACTGCGAGACATGTGACCACTAATGACAATATTGTCCCAATGCAAAATTCTGAAGGCGGCTTTGCTTTTGCAACTTGGAAGTGTAAGAAATGTACATTAGATAATCCAGTGACTGTAAAGCAGTGTACTGCATGTGACTCCCGTAGAACATCAAGTACCCCAGTGACCTTTCCTTCCAGCTCAGCATTGGCAGTTCAGAACAAGCACCGCCATCTGGAAAAAAGTAGTTCTGACTCTGCTGTACCCCAAACTTTATGTAGTCTTCCTAAGCAGATACCAAAGTCTAAAGAAAAAAACACATCACAAGAGTCCCTTCGTGTCAGAGAAGAGAAAGAGTGGACTTGTAAGCACTGCTCATATTCATGCAATCCCCCGTGGCAGAAACAATGTGATAGGTGTAATGATCCTACAACTACCAAGACCAGTGCTGTAGGTAGTTCCAGACAGGACCCCATTGATCTAACCAGGGGCTCTTATCACTTGTTTTCTCATGAAAAATACCAAGAGCCTGTTGTTGATCTCACATCGGAAGATGTTGAGATGGAGGAGGATTTTCAACGAGATCCCTCACAGCCTGATCCAGGAACTGATTCTGAGAAGGCTTCTACATGGACATGCACAATGTGCACTTTTAATAACACAGCATTTAATACCAAGTGTGAAATGTGTGACTTCCCGAGACCCCAAGATGTGAAAGAAGACAAATTATCACATGGGGAAATGTGGGAGTGCCGTAGATGTACACTACAGAACCCAGTGACTGCACCAGTGTGTGGTGCCTGTCAATCCAAGAAGGAAGTCTTGTTACCTAATGCAGATGATATACCTTTAGATTACAATGTATCTCCTCTGAACAGTTCACCAGTGCCAATCACATCCCCTGCATCAACATCAGTGGCAAGATACAAAACAGCAGCATTAGTGACAACACCACAGAATAAGGCGATTGCAGCTTTGCCTGCAACAGCAGCAAATGCTAAAACATCAGCAACAAACACACATTTACAATCAAGTACAACCAAAATGACTGACAGTGAGCAGTCAGTGTCAAAGCACAAAGAACCTGTGGAGTCTGAGTTGCCTCCTCTACCTCTGTCACCATTGTCAAGTTCAAACCACTTCTCACGACCACAATGGACATGTACTGTCTGTACCTATGTCAATGACCTCAGTGCAAAGACGTGCCATGTTTGTAGGACTTCAGTACATACAGCTGCTAAAGTAAGTGGTGTCTCTCAGTCCCAGACAAATCATGTGGTAATTTTCAATTAAATATTTTAACCAGTCTCATCACACTCCAAAAAAAAATGAATTTAAATATATTGCTAAATTAACACACTATGTGACCCAATTTTTACTTCAATAGCTTTTGTGTGATTTGACTTTTGTTGTTGTATTAAGCATTTGCATTTTATAATGAAAAATTCAGTGAATATTACGGTATTCGATGATTATTTTAAATCTTATATTTAAAATTTGGTTGAGATGTGAAATTACTAGTATGATAATTCTATTGTATGGTATATTGTTGTTCTGCCAGTCTCCTGGACCAGCCCCTACCTCTCCTCCACCATCAGTACCACTCTCTTCCTTGCTGAGACAGGAGAGTAAACTGATGGAAACTGTGAGGCATAAGGAAGAAGAGAAAGCTAAGGAAATTTGGGAAGGAATCATTGCATATTGTAAACAGGTACTTAATACCAATGCATGTCTGTAAAACATTAAAAATCATCACCATTTTTAGATGGAGCTAAAGAGTTTAGAGTCCTTATAATTGTAGATGTCAGTTGCAGCCTTTCTAGCTTTGTGCTGAATACATATATTTTTCCTTAACTCTCATTTATGTAAATTATCCATCTTTCCACCCATCAAACTACCCAGTTTAGTGGTCTATATGACATTGTCTACACTTCACTTTACTGATTTAAATAAGCAAATTTTAATTCAGTAGCTTTTGGTCTTTTCCTGTCTTATCAAATTAGAATGACATTGGCTTTCACTGCCTGGCATTGATCATGTTGACATCAGTTATCAGGAAATTGTTCTGCTTCTTATCACAGGAAGTATGATTAAAACTGGAACTGGGTTTGTGAAATATTTCATTAATTGAACTGAACATTTCAGAGTAGAGATAAGCCTGTAGATGATAAATACTTTTCTTAATTGCAAGTTTACAGATTTGTGTGTGAAATATTTGATATATTGAACATTTCAAAGGAGAGCTAAAGAAATGTGCATGTGGTATTAGTAATCTTTTGGTTTAGAGTCTTTAAAATGAAAACAATAGAAGTGAGGAATGCATAATTTGTTACCAATAAGATCATAAAAAAGTTAATGAAATAGATTATCATTTTTACCAATTGTATGATATTTCAGAATAAAGATAGGTTTGTTGATGATCAGTTTCGACCGGGTCCACAGTCTCTCAACTACAAGCCCCAAGATCACCCTGATTCCCCAGTGATGCAGTGGTTAAGACCACAGGAAGTGGCCTGCAATAGTATGCAGGAGAGGATGACCAACTGGACTGTATTCAGGAGAAGTCCTATGCCATCAGATATATCACAGGGTGTCCTAGGGAATTGCTGGTATTCCTTTTTGAATTCGCTTTTATTTGCAGTATCTTCTAGTATAAATCTGTATATTCTAATAATATATGTGTCCTTGTGTATTCATATGTAGGTTCATATGTATGTGTTTGTATACAATCTTTCTATTTCGTGAACCTAACGGAGACACTTAAACAGAGCCATGTTTATGTGGTTACAGATAGTGCAAAAAGAACCTAAATCTCCTACTTTTGCATATGCCATAATTTTCAAACCCATTTTAAGGATGTCACTCCACATTCAACTACATGTATATACAAGTGCAAACTACCCATGCAGGTATGTCCATGGGGATATTTAAATAGAAGCAGATGGTGTGTCTATGTGCCCCTCTTGACATTTCAGGTTTCTCAGTGCCTTGGCAGTGCTAGCAGAGAGGCCAGACCTGGTAGAGAAAGTGGTCATTACGCGTGAGGTGTGTCCAGAGGGAGCATACCAGATAAGGCTGTGTAAAGATGGCCTGTGGACCACTGTCCTGGTGGATGACCTCTTCCCGTGTGATGCCTCTGGAAGGCTAGTCTACTCTCAGGTGGGGAAAAGTCTGGGTACTTGATCTATTCTGTTTTTGTTATTGTTAGGATATAGATTGTTGAATATACATTTTTTTTACACAGTGGTATGGTAATTTTTTCCTTGACACTGCAATATATTTTTCTATTCTTTCATATGACAGTGTAACTAATATAGATGTTTCTGCTTTGAAAGAACAGTTTTAAATGCCTAAGTTTTTGTTACTGCTGGGTGTGCAATAGCACAAGTAGACAAATAAGTAGTCAAAATGGCCAAGGGTTATATATAACACAGAAAAAAGCAGAAATGTCTGTTTAAATATCAATTTTTGAAAAATATAAAACAATGCCCTTGGGCATTTCTTTTAGTTATGCTATTTGATACTATATGGTGGCATTTTGGCCAGGTTTTGTGGCAAAATATGACTTTAATGTATTTGTGTATTCTACTTATATAAAAATTCTAATTGTAGGCTAAGAGGCGCCAGCTGTGGGTTCCTTTGATAGAGAAAGCCCTAGCCAAGGTACATGGCTGTTATGAAGCCCTCATAGCAGGAAGATGTATAGAGGGTCTGTCCACACTGACTGGGGCACCTTGTGAGAGTATAGCACTGCATAGTAAGTATGGGATTATAGGGAACTTCCCTCACAGCATACCAACCCCCCATCCCACCCCCCAGGAAAAAAACCCTACCACAAATTTAAGATTTGCATGCATTTTATGAATGTGTTTTGTGTTTCCTTATGCAATTCCAACATTAATAGTTAATTTGAAGAATCAGAAAGCTCAGATTACAGTCTTTTGCTGGCCCTAAAATGGATGATGAAAGGAATGAATTATCTGATCTTAATCCTGTGCATTTTCACTGTTATCCCAATTACATTGTATTGATAGCAAGCTCTGAACTACTGGAGAAGGGTCAACATCTGTCTGTTTCAGTTATTGTCATTTTAATACTAGAAACAGACATAGAGCTGTGAAACATTGTATGGATCTTCAAGTCATTGGAGTTCTTATCACTGAAAATACCCCTTTACAGTGCAGTGCAGTTATTCAAATATTCTAGTTATATATGGTAGTTCATAAAAATTCCAGGGTGAACATCTTTTATATCATAGTTATTGTCAAAGGTCAATATTTCTGAAAGCCATTTATTAAGGCTCTGTGAAAACTGCATAATAGTTGTCCCCCAGGGAGTGAACTTTCATATCTCAGTTTTTCTTGTCAGGATACTGATATTCTGATTTAGTTTTTCCATCAACTAGAAAAATTATAACTGATGGATACCAATTGAAATAGCCTTATGAAGGCCATAATAATCAATAATTGTAATGCAAAATATGGCATATTCATACTGTACTTTGTGATTACTTTATTGTTGTTATTTTCTCCAGACAGTGGAAGTCCCCATGAAGATCCAGTGGATGCTGACTTCATATGGGCACAACTACTCAGTTCCAGAGAATCAGGGTAAAATCAATCAATATCTCTATCATATTCCTTTCCATGTATACTTTGCATTTTATTTTAAAAGAATTTGTGACTTAGTGTTTTGTACTGAATTGGATGTTGTTATCTTATTAGAATAAGCATATGGTATCTCATTTGAGGAGTTCTGTGAACTGAAATGACTTGACATTCTTTATAAATTTGGCCTGGATATCCTGTTGGAATAAAGCCATCAAAGTACATGTTTCACCCCTACAGAACTTCCTGGTCTATACATAATACGTGTGTGAGGCAGCTGTTTGTTATCAGTGCTTGTTAACATTCCCTGTTATTTACTTCCCTGTCTCTTAATCCAGATGTTATCAACAATATCGGGAAATTGGACTTTAAAATGTTACAGTAATAAAATATTCACATTCAGGTCATTACTTTAGATGTGAAAATAAAGTAGAAATACACACATTTTGGCCCGAGATAAAAATTGAGCTGAATCAGGGGCTAATATTACCATAACAACCACAAACTTAACTCACCATGGGGCAATCTTGAGTCTTTCAACACAGGTGTGATTACATGATTTCATATTTACTAAAGATGCATTTTCATCTTGTTTTATTTCCAGCTTTCTCATGGGTGCATCTTGTGGTGGAGGCAACATGAATGCCAATGAAGAACTCTACCAAGACTTAGGTCTTCGTGCTAGACATGCATATTCCATCCTTGATGTGCAGAATGTTATTGGGAACAGGTAAGAAACCGATAGATAATAATTGGTTAGACAGATAAAAAGATCCATTTTATCATCAAATGCTACGATATTCAATTGTGTCAACAAAATGTTCCATATCTATACATATGTATAATTTACTGGTATAATATTATAAAAAATATTGTCTTTGGATGAGGTCTGCAAAACAACATTAATATTGACCAGAAGGGAATGTCAGTAATTATTTTATTATATAATATAATACCTAAATGTCAACATGAAAATTGCTTCATGTCTGTCATCAGACATAGTTATGTCTGATTGATGATATATTACCTTTAACCTTATTGGTATAAAAATCAGCAGTTATGTCACTGGTAAATAATATATGTTATCAGACCTTTTAATTTGCTGATATAAGATAGGATAAGATCTGTATTTATTGTGTAAAAATCTTTTAAAGACTTTGTTGAATGTTACTTTAAATGAATCCTGATACACAGAGTTTTTAAATTAGCTATTTTATTTTGTATAAAAGAATACATATGAATATTAAAATCTTTTTCAGACTTCTGAAAATTCGTAACCCATGGGGGAGATTTTCTTGGAAGGGGGACTGGTCAGACAGATCCCCCAGGTGGCAAGAAATTGAAAAAACACGAAAAAACCAACTACTGGTTCATGGAGGACAGGAAGGAATATTCTGGATGTCGCTGGAAGATTTTCTCAGGTATAGCTTTTCCTTTAGTTTTAGATTGTAAGGAGATTATGTTACTGCAAAAGCACAAGAATGAAATCAAATCCCTTCATTCAGTACATAGTGGTTTGACTTGCTAGGTTTTTCTTTTTGGGAGTTATTGATATGGAAATAATTCAAAAAATATTTATTTATATGTTACATTTAAAAATACAAAGATTTGCAATGTCAATCATTGTTATCATGGCTGTTACAGTCCTACATTTTTGTTCAGTGTTCATTGGGGTGTTTTTCATATTTGTTTTAAATATTTCAGCTATTTTGACAGCGTTGATATATGCAAAGTCAAGGGAGACTGGAGAGAGATGAGACTACAGGGAAGTTTCCCACCAAATGCTAAAGGACCAATGCAGGTTGCTATGGTTACAGTGTACCAACCAACTGAAATAGAATTTGGTCTTTTTCAAGAAGGTTCAAGGTATGTGTTATTGTTACAGTACAAGTTCTGCCAATTGTGTCCTCATTTTATACTGTCTTACTTGTACAACCAAATTGCTTGTGTATCAAACAGTACAAGCACAGTGAAACTGTATGTAATTTTCATAGTTTCACAGCTAGTGCAATGGTGAGAGGCAACTTACTGTATTGGCTCTCAAGAAACAGTGCTACAATGTACAAAGAAATCTTGGATTGCGCTTATTTATTATAACATTATAAACTCTGTAAAATATGTTGGTCACAAACTTTGTTGGGTGTAAGTTGATGTTATTCAGCAAATAATAACATGGGTTTCTTTTGGAAAGTTAACTATCACATAGACAGGCAGGCAGATAAATAGCAGGGCCGTAGCCTTCAGGGG